ACATTTCAGGAGAAAGAAAGGGCTTTCTACTCCCATAAATGATAACAGTACCTGAAACTCACAGGGGCAGTTTTACTCTGTGCTATAAGATCATTATGTGTCAGCATTGACTCTATGGCATTGAGTTTTGGGTATTGGGAGTTGGTCTGTATTTTACAATACCTGATAAACCACTAAATATCTATAATGCATAATTACAGTATCTAATAAACCCAAACCTAATAAAGTAGTAAATTACCACTGAAAGTAAACAGAATTATCCACTATCCATATTCCACACTTACTAAGGATGAAAATGATTACTTGAATATCTGACGAGAACAGTAAATCAAAATAAGGTATGTAAACATTTTCTAAGACACTAGAGATTTATACAACCTTCATGGCTCTTGGAATTCTGGGTTACATGGGAATTTGAAGTTCTTTGTGTGTGTGCATGTGTGATTTCCTTTATTTGATCAGGATTTTTCTATGGAATCTTTAAACAGAATTCTCACTCACAGTAACTGTGCACCAGCCGGTTTTTTTGCTCTCAAAGCAAAACAGGTAGTTTTTCATGGATGCAATGAGGGGTACATTCCACACCTTCTAGTCATGACTCTATTGTTTTAGTATAATAGAAATCAATTGCATATCTGATGTCTTCTTAAAAACATAGTTTAGTTTAATGAGTAGGAAAGGACTATGTGGGACAAACTTGATAACGACATCTTAAAGATTTGATAGGAACCGTGTTGTTGTTGTTAGGTGCGATGGAGTGGGTTCTGGCCACTATCGACCCCATGCCCAAGAAAACCAAACACTACCCAATCCTCTTCTATCCTCACATTTTCCCCTATTCTTCAGTCCATTGTTGCAGCTGCTATATCAAATCATCTCACTGTGGGTTTTCCCCTTTTTGGCTGCCCCTCCACTGTACCAAGCATAATGTCTTTCTCCAGGGACTGGTATCTCCTGACATGCCCAAGGTATGTAAAGCAAAGTCTTGTCATCCTTGCCTCTAAAGAGAAATCTGGCCACCCTCCTTCCAAGATGGAATTCATTTGTCCTTGTAGCAGTCCATGGTACTTTCATATTCTTCATCAGAACCTCAATTCAAATGCATCCATTATTCTCTGGCCTTCCTTATTCAGTGTCCAACTTTCACATGCATATGTGACAATGGGAAATACCATGGCTGGGTTAAGGTGTACCTTAGTCCTCAAATGACAACTTGGCTTTCCAACACTCTAAAGAGGTCTTGTGCAGCACATTTACCCAATTCAAAGCATCTTTTGATCTCTTGACTACTGCCTCTATGAGTATTGAATGTGTACCAAAGCAAGACAAAATCCTTGGCAACTTCAATCTTATATAAGAATCTTAGAGAATGAGAATGGTACACAGCTTGTATAATGTGACAAATGTCACTCACTAAATGATAAAAGTATATATTATTGAATTCATATACATTTTTCTGTGCACAATTTCAACAACAAATAGATTTATTTTAAAATATATAAAAATGCATCAAGTATGTATAATATATATGTGTATATGTGTGCATGTGTGTATATATACTATTTTTACACACACACATAATGCACTGCCTGGAGTACTACATTCTAACTCATGCTGCTATTGTTAGGGGCCAACAATCATTTCTGATCCATAGTAATCCTATGCATAACAGAAGGAAATACTGCCCAGTCGTGTACCATCTGCGCAATTATTCTTCTGGCTGATCCCATTGTTGCAGGGCTTGTGTGCATCCATATTGTTGAGGACCTTCCTCTCTTTCAACGTCCATCCGCTTTACCAAACATGATTTTATTCTTCAGTGGCTAGTCTCATTAGCGGATTCTTGCAGCTGTTTCTCCTTACCTTGAGTCACGCCCCATCAGCAAATGAACATTCAAAGGCTACACTCCCACAATGTTTACCCAACTCACATAATCACATGGACATCACTAAAATATCAACTTCTCCTCAGTTACATTTAGAGTGCTCTTAGAGCCTAAAGACCCATTCTCTGGAACTATTTCTAGCAATGTTCTGCTTCCATTCATTTGGCCTTCACTATCTGATCATGTTTTGAAGCTAAGCACAAAATCTGCAGCTGCTCCTTTCACAGAAGTGGCGAGTCAAGTCCTTCTTGGTTGTCTTTTCTTAGTTTGAAG